GAGTCACATTTGCTAATGCTTGACAACTTAGAGGTAAGTAAAAAAATGATTTTCTTAAATATCCTCTCGTCGGATTTCATCTGATGAATTTTGTCTGTTTCACTACAGTCCTCAGTGGGTTGTGTTTTGTTTTTTTTTTACTTCTGGGTTAGGTCGAGCCTGTAATGGAGAAGACAGAGACTTGTCCAGTTTGGCTTCTGAGATACAACATGCAAGAGACCTCATCACTTCCTAGTCCAACACACAAAGGTGAAAAAAAAAAACACACACGATGCACCCTCACCCTCACAGGCCTCCACAAGAGGCGCTGTAGGGATGCCGGGGCAGCGGCAGAGAGACGGTCGTGTGAACTAAGATAAATGGCATGTAAAAGTCATACATAAAGGCTAAAATGATTTTATCATTTTCTACGCCATCTATTGGGGAAACCAGCCCCTGCGCCTTAGTTTGCCCATGCTAGATTCTATTACACGGATGTTAGCAGTTTACATATTGCATTAAATGCACATTAGTGGGGTTATAGGCTAAGCTAACCCTCCTAACTGCAGTCTCTCCTTCTCTGGGCTTCACTAGCAGGTCCATAGCATGTGAGTTGCATTACTGCCACCTATTGGGGTTATTGAACACCTGTTAGTATTTAATCTAGAGGATGTCCTAATCACTTACAATGAAAGGAAAAATTAAAAAAAAAATGACCAGGAGATTGAAACCTTGTTGTTGTTCACAGGAACAAATGTCATGTGACCTTCTGTGACCCTGTAAAATTAGTTTAGGAATTTGAACTGATTTTAACAGACTTTTTATTGAAAACTTTTTTGGGGAAAAAAATCTGAATGAAATGTTTTTTTTTTCTCCAGATGTTCCTGAGAGAGCGGTGCGTCGTCAGAGCGTCCCTGGCAGCTCTGTTGTGAACACATCCACAGCCAGAGTGACGGTGAACACATACACACACACACACACCTTTTTTCCCAGCTGTACTCCTGCCTGTTGTTTCCATGGCGACAGAAGCTCAGCTGCTGTCAGCGGTTGATCAGCTGACAGGCACCATCTACAGCCAAAACACTGGCATCACCGACCGCAGAGAAGTGTTCAAGGTGATGTCACGCAGGATGCTCACATGTTCATTCTTTAAGTTTCATGACGAAAAACACCTGGATGTGTTCGAACCTTAAGTACAGCAGTTTATTAGGTGTGAAATGTTCCCAATAAAAAATGCCACATATTTAGATGCTAAACTGGTTGGTACTTTAAAAAAAAATTACAGATGAATCGCCATAAATATGTATTCAATTGTAATGGAGCCACGTCAGAACAATGTCAAACAAACACGGAGGCTACAGGAGGAGTACACACTCGTGTGTTGTTAGCGTTTCTTTTTGATCATGTCCATGTTCTTCCTT